CTCAGCGGGTGGTCTCCAGGGACGCTCAGCATCCTAAAGTTGAAGTTGATAACTGGAGAGTCCAACTTTGCTTCTAATTCGTTTCGACTGGAACCGTTTCGGAGCAAAAGAGCAACCTTCGGTGCAAGAAGTTTAAATTTACGGTAATCCAGAGGAGTGTTTGTCTTTGTAAAGTGAAACAAATAATCTCTTGCGGAGTTTTAATTCGTCGCTAAATATAACTAGCTTGTGTAACTATCTAATAAATTTACTTAGGGGATATTAAAGCGTGAAGGGAACGAGCAGGGGACGTGACCCTTTTTCGTGAAATTTCATTAACAAATTAAACAAAAGTTGGAATTATATGCATAACGCGGACCGACCTCTCCGAAAACAAAAATTATTGCACTTGTAACTCGTGGAGCAAATATATACATTCGGTCGCAGCGGGCGTGATTTAATTTAAAAACTTGAATTAATAGATTGTGCCTCGCATGCCGAAAGGACTAATGAACGGAATGAAGAGGAATTCGACGTGGACCGGGTTGTTGTTGCGTGATAAGGGGGGCCGTCGCGTACGATGTACGCAACATGTACGCGCTCGTGTGTCTGCGGGTTTCTTTGTTTAAGATTGTAATTGTAAATTGTTCGTCAACACGATTAGCATAGAAATTCCGGGCATGGAAGGCTCCAGCGTCGTCTCGTGCTGGCGGTTTATTGGTCTGCTTATGATGTCGAGACACGCCAGAAACGGGCAAAATGTCTTCATTTCGATTCCGCCCAGCGAGTTCGATTCTTTGTCACAACTTTTCATTCTGTCACCGGAGGCGACCTCCCCCCGAGTCCCGGACCGCTTTCCTTTTAACCGCGCGAAGATAAAGGAATTTATTTAGGGTGTGCTTACAAAAGAAAAATTGAAAGCAATCAAGGTACAGAGTCGGCACACACACATGCATTGATGAATGCCGGTCCTGATCCGATAGAATTCGGGGATATCGAGAAGAGCGGAATTCGATAAACAACCGCTTTTAACGAAGCCAATTCAAAAAGTGGATGTATTTCCGAGAGCGCCGTTACTTTTTTGATGAATTATTTATGGGGAGATTCCATACTTCTACAAAGTGTTTGTTGGAGATAACGCTAGATCTCGACGTTTCTGAATTATCGGCCGGTGCTCTGCTCTCTTAAAATCTAATTTTCCGTGAAGTTGGTAGTGCGAGCTGCATTTTCTACGACTCCCGCAAGTCTTCCATCTGACGAAATAAATTCCCGAAATTAAATCGGCCATCAGGACGTTCCGCAACGATATTGCCAACAAATCATACTTGATGATACGTTTCAACCTGCCCTCGGCTTGATTTGTTTAGGTTCGCCGAGGCGACCTTAAGTAATCGAGGTCTGCCGTGATCGCACCTCGCCACCTATTCCATTTATCATGCAAATTAGGCCCAGATCACACCGCTATCTCCTCTTCAATCATAAAGGCGACGCTCTGTGCTGCCCAACTTACGCCATACATCAAGTCAAGTGCGCGATAAACGGAAATTACTGCCGACCTATCTAATGTGCACAACCGGGACCGAGTAGCTAGACAGACGCTACTCCACACAGTAACGGAATTGCTGAGAGAATGGAAGATCAATCTGATCTGTATTCGACTCTCAAATATAGTGTGACGTCACACGACAAAAACGAGCTCAGTTTTGGTCATTATAAGTTGGCAATGCAACAAACCTCTAGAACGCAATAAATTAGTTCTAGACCACTATCGCGCGAAAACTGCAACTTCACAAGTCGAGAAAAAAGTTAACTACGTGTTTGATGATTTCGTGCACGGCTCAGACGTTTCCTGTCGAAAGGCATTACCATAACGCATTTAATTGTTAAAGTAGCACTTCAGTCTTGATTTAAGGCACTAATCTCCACTGGATGACCTGATTTGATTCATACAAAACTTATAAATCTTGTCCGCAGCTAAACTTGTCTGGATCATGCGACGTTATGTTTGAAGAGGACGTGGCGCCCCCAAGAGCGACGTGTTTCGAATTTTCGCGCGATTGCGTATAGGCAACCAATTATACACTATTGATGGGTGAATTTTGAATTTGTTATTTACAATCCTGTTTAAATAAAAGCAGCAATGTTTTAATCTAATAAATTACTTGTATTACATTAAATTTAAACCGAATTTTTACGTTCTGCGCAGTGGATAATTTTCGGCTTATATTTTCATCCGGATTCCGAATTTTGCCTCTTGGCTACAGGGCTTCACTCTTCGCCAACACTTTCAAGTTAAGTTGCGGCGCTGCATTGATCGGAGAAGATCCGGAAGCTCGTCCGGGATCCACGCTGTGCATAAAGCTCCGTTATAAAATTTTGCTATTATGACCTTCCGTATTACTCTAACGCTCACTAACGAAGCTAAATTATTCATTTTCCAGGTTATTCAAGCCACGGTAACGAGAAACTTTACATTTTCGGAAATTGTCGACTGCAGAGGCGAACGGTCGAGGACCATTTTTTAACGTGACTAAAAATTCCTTGATTATACACCGTTCCGATTTTCGTCGGGGTCACGTCGGTTAATAACGATCGTTGTGATCTCTTAAACAGAGAGCGAAGCTTCTTTTAATATTGGGTTTGTAAATATTTGAGTAAAGCGAAATTTTAAGTCGTCGGAATTAAAGTTTGTACAGTGTGTTGTATGATTAAGTATCGCAGATAGGGTCTTTGTTCTGTTGCTGCCTGCTCATTGATCTGGATTAGGTTCGGAGACGCGTCGCGAGCTCCGCTCGCTCCGCGTTTATTATAGTCGACGGTACGCTCGCTGCGCTCGCTTATATTCACGCCGTTCGAATCTCTTTGTTGACGCCAGAATTCGACTTCGAAGGATTTCTCAGTTTCTCGATATTTATTTTTTCAGATTTCAATGTTATAATTGACAGTTTCTCGTTTTTTCAGTTTTTCCATTTTAAGATATTTTTAGTTTGTGATTTTTTAATTGTTGATTTTTTCCTTATTCGATTTTTTAATTTCGCAATGTTTTCAACATTTCGGTATTTCATTTTTTTTATTGTTCAATGTTTCGTTTTTTTTTTTATTCAATATTTCAGTTTTCGATTTTTAATTTTACAGTTTTTTGATGTTTATTTTAACATTTTTGGATTTTTCAATTTAAATTTTTTGTATTTTTAGATTTTTTAGTGTCTAGATATTTTAATTTTTCGATTTTTCTATTTCTAGAAAATTTTGTTTTCCGTATTTTTCTATTTCTGGATTTTTAATTAATCAGTTTTCGATTTTACACTGAAAGAAGAAGAAATGAAAGCGGATATGACTTCTGGGGCCCAAATCTATAAGAAAATGTATTTAGTAAAATTTCGAAAATTTCGTTGAAAATTGGTCCAAGAATTGGTGGTATTTTGCACATTTTTGTACATTTCAAAGGGCGATTTTGGAAGAACCATTGGAGATATCGAAGAAATGAAAGCGGATATGACTTCTAGGGCCCGAAATCTACAAGAAAATGTATTTAGTAAAATTTCGAAAATCTTCTTGAAAATTGGCCCAAAAATTGGTGATATTTTGCACATTTTTGTACATTTCAAAGGGCGATTTTGGAAGAACCATTGGAGATATCGAAGAAATGAAAGCGGATATGACTTCTGGGGCTCGAAATCTAAAACAAAATGTATTTAGTGAAATTTCGAAAATTTTGTTGAAAATTGGCCCAAAAATTGGTGGTATTTTGCACATTTTTGTACATTTCAAAGGGCGATTTTGGAAGAACCATTGGCGATATCGAAGAAATGAAAGCGGATATGACTTCTGGGGCCCGAAATCTACAAGAAAATGTATTTAGTAAAATTTCGAAAATTTTGGTGAAAATTGGCCAAAAAATTGGTGGTATTTTGCACATTTTCTTTTTTTCAACTTTTTAAATTTTCAGTTGTTTTTTCAATTTTTTAGTTTCTCAAGTTTTAAGATTACAATTTTTAAATTTCTTGGTATTTCAAGTTTCGTTTTTCCTATTTTTGATTTTCAATTTTGTATTAAAGTTTGTACAGTGTGTTGTATGATTAAGTATCGCAGATAGGGTCTTTGTTCTGTTGCTGCCTGCTCATTGATCTGGTTTAGCTTCGGAGACGCGTCGCGAGCTCCGCTCGCTCCGCGTTTATTATAGTCGTCGGTACGCTCGCTGCGCTCGCTTGTATTCACGCCGTTCGAATCTCTTTGTTGACGCCAGAATTCGACTCAATATGCCAGGATTCATCGAATCAATGTTCGCAAGTTAAGGTCTTTTATGTGTATTTGTCATAATTTTCGCGATAAAATCCTGGAAAACAGATCGGTGTCGCCGTCTGTTTTATGTAAATAACCTTCCGAATACTCCGTCTTCCGTCATGTCTATCAAAGCCATAAAAGCGGCGATTGTTGATTTACAGCCAATAGAAAATAATTGCTCGGAGGATTGCTCGCTGTGTATGACGTGCAATTCTTCCATTGTTTAGCGGTCGGGGGCGAATTTTTCCGACTCATCTCGGATGATTTATGCGTATCTTGATAAGGTGGACGTCCGTTCCTTTGTGCAAAACATCGAATGGCTTTCCGCTCTACTCTATTTTTCGTTGTTTGTTTTGCGAGAGGAGTTCGCACTAACATAAAATTGTTGTTGCTCTTTGTGTAATTAATATTTTGTTTTGCTTTGTAAACGTAATTTGGATTTATTGCCGGCGGCTGTTTTGTTTTGATCTTCACTGGGGTTTATTTTTCAATTACACGATTTTTTGATGGGACCTATCGGTATAATCGGTCATCGCCGTCCCAATTAAGCCCCGACATTCAAACGCGAAGGTTTCCATGGCGATAAATCGTGAAACATTATGATTGCGGTGTGAACACGTTGCAGAAGCAACGATTTTTTGGTCACTCCATCTGTTCGGTAAACGAGCTATAGTGACTCCATAACCGGTTGTATTTTATCGTAGAAAAACCCTGTAAGGTGCTATTTTTGTCCGCAGGATTTGGAAGGTGACACGCCCCTCCATGACGCAATTTCGAAGAAAAGGGACGATATGCTGACGTTGTTGCTGGATCATAACGCCGATATCACCTTGACCAACAATAACGGATTCAATGCCCTCCACCATGCCGCTCTCCGTGGAAATCCAAGGTAGGGACGGCTTCCGCGGCCGTATTTCTTCTCTCCTCTCCTTATATATACAATAATTTTCGTTGTGGAGCGCTAGGACGTGTTGCTTCCACCGGAAATTGGCGCCGACGGCACTCGCATCCGTTTCCGTGCACATCATCGTCGTCAGATTCTCTCGAGAAGTCGGCTGCTCCTGCACACGACTATTTACTCAGAGGAGTCTCTAAATAATGGGAATCGGGGATACTTGTTATTTCCAGGTTCTCGGCGAAATTGCGTCGAAAAGGCCGCTTATTCGATATTTTGGCGCGGTTCTAAATCGGCTAACAGAACGAAAATAACGTTGTTCATTCGAATTATCATTCGGGTGTGCAGAAAAATAGCGAAATTTTATGAGGCTATTTGTTCTGGTGGATGGAGTGAGTGCGGGACTTATGGACGATGTTTTAATAATTCAACGACCTGGAAAAAGTTGCATTTACGAGTGTGGGAACGGGTTGATTAATATTATACTGCACCATTTTGACGCCTCCTTGAGTCCTGTTTGCGGTTAATGCAAGAGAGAATTCCTGCTTCCCTTTAACGTTTTTATTAGTGTTGTTATTGATTTAAGCGAAGTTTCGGCATTTCCCATCTTTGAAATGTGTCTAGCGTAGCAAAAAATTTGTGGAAATATCAAACTTGTTGTTTACCGTAAAAACAACGGAATTGGGAACAAAGGTACGAAAAGGGAGGGAGAATTTATTTAAAGAATGTAAAAACCGAAACTTTGCCGGGCTCGAGGCAATCGAAATTTAATGTCGTCTCTTGTTTTCTATTCACTTTTGGCCGACGAAGTCAACCGTTTCTAAGAAATCTCCTAACGTTACCGTCTCAGTCGGGGTTTCTTCGCAAAGTGCATTACCTAAATCTTTACGGTAATGTTTGTTTGTTTTAATTTTTGCCCCCGGTTGTTGGAAACTCCAACTCGGACCCCCGGCATTCCTCGTCCGAAATTTAGAGTTTCTCGAGTCAAATTAACGGCAAGGATAAAGGGCAGCGACGCGTCGAATCTTCCTGGTGCGTCGCAGCTCGACGGAAATTAAGAAAGGCGTAAATTTTTTGCGATGGCTCTACGGGGCGCCCTTTTTGCCGAAGGGTCAGGCGACAAAAGCGCCTTTTGCGTCTCCTCCGTAAATTATCACCTGTTTGCGATACTGCGGCACTTACTATTCGAGTGGGGTTTCTTCTTTGCACATTTCAATTTCGATATTGGCACGATGATATTCCGAGCATGTAATAAGAATCGAAGGGTGTATATTCCACAAAGGATCTGCCCAGATCAATCGCATTTTTGCATGATAAACGCCTCGCGTTATGGTAATGGTATGCAGATGCACTCCGCGAAATGAGCATTTCAAAAGTGCATCAGATGGTGCACGGCGCGCCGTAGACTTTTCGACCTGCTGCAATTTCGATAGCGTTCGTTTCTGCGATTCTTTTCGCGTCGACGGACCTAACGGCTAATGCGGATTTCATAACGGCGGTAATTTTAGGAGGATTGAGGGCGGCGGAAAGTTTGGCAAGCGGGATTCGTGCGAAATCGGGATGGGCAACGTTAGATTTTCATAAATTTTGCTCACGAAACTATTGTATTGATAATATTTTGACAATAATCTGGAATTTTCAAAGTGTTGATAGCAGATCAAAGTGCTACGAGTGTCTCCAACATTTCTACACAAGATTTGAAAGTTGCTCAAATTTTCTCAGAAACGTCTCCGTCTGAACTTAAATTTTCTCAGGATAACGAATTCCTCCTTATTTTTCCCTTAGATGTGGCAAATAAGTGAGATATGAATTTTTATTCTGGCGCCTCCACCATTTTGTGACCCGAAATTTTCTCAGGATCACGAATTTATCCTTATTTTAACTATAGATACACACGAGGGACCCACGCATTTTTATTTTGGCATCATTTTTAGTCAAAATTTGAAATTTGCTGAAATGCTCTTGGAAACGTCTCCATGTGAACCGAAATTTTCTCAGGATTGCGAATATACCCTTATTTTTCATCTAGGCCGTCATATAAGGGAGAAATGAATTTTTATTTTGGCGCATCCACCATTTTTACATAAAATTTGAAAGTTGCTCAAAATCTTCCAAAAACGCATCTGTCTTTCCAAAATTTTCCCAGGATCACGAATCTATCACTATTTTAACTTCGAGTCGTCAAATAAAGGAAAAATAAATTTTTATTTTGACGCCTCAACCATTTTCACACATTTTATAATTATCAGTTTCTCCTTTTTTCGATTTTTCCGTTTTAAGATATTTTTATTTTTTGATTTTTCAATTTTTCCTTTTTTCCTTATCGGATTTTTTAATTTCGCTATTTTTTCAACATTTGGGTATTTCAATTTTTTTATTGTTCAATGTTTCGTGTTTTTTTTTTCATTTTTCAGTTTTCGATTTTTTAATTTTACCGTTTTTCGATGTTTATTTTGACATTTTTGGATTTTTCGATTTAAATCTTTTTGTATTTTTCGATTTTTTAGTGTGTAGATATTTAATTAACTTTGCGTTTCTTAAATTTTATAATTTGTCGATTTTTCTATTTCTAGAAAATTTTGTTTTCCGTATTTTTCTATTTCTGGATTTTTCTTCGATTTTACAGTTTTTTTTTCAATTTTTCAAATTTTCTGTTGTTTTTTCAATTATCGAAGTTTTCAGTTTCTCAAGTTTTAAGATCACAATTTTTAAATTTCTTGGTGTTTCAAGTCTCGTTTTTTCTATTTTTGATTTTCAATTTTGCAATTGTTCGATTTTCCTGTTTTTTAAATTTTCAGCTTTTTCATTTTTAAGGTTACAATTTTTCCTTTTCCAATTGTTGATCCATTAATTATTCGATTTTGAGTTTCTTTATTCTTTCAATTCTTCGATGTCTGGATTTTTAAATTGTTGTGTTTTTCAATTTTTCAGTTTTCGATTTTTTAATTTTACAGTTTTTCAATGTTTATTTTGACATTTTTGGATTTTCAATTTAAATTTTCTGTATTTTTCGATTTTTTAGTGTCTAGAAATTTTAATTTTTCGATTCTTGGACTTTTGAATTTTACAATTTGTCGATTTTTTTATTTTTTAGAAAATTGTGTTTTCCGTATTTTTCTATTTATGGATTTTTTTATTAGTTAGTTTTTCGATTTTACAGTTTCTTTTTTTCAATTTTTCAAATTTTCAGTTGTTTCTTCAATTATCGAAGTTTTCAGTTTCTCAAGTTTTAAGATTACAATGTTTTAAATTTCTTGGTGTTTCAAGTTTCGTTTTTTCTATTTTTGATTTTCAATTTTGCAATTGTTCGATTTTTCTGTTTTTTAAATTTTTAGTTTTTTCATTTTTATGGTTACAATGTTTCCTTTTCCAATTGTTCACCCCTTAATTATTCGATTTTGAGTTTCTTTTTTTTTCAATACTTCGATATCTCAGTTTTTAAATTGTTGGATTTTTCAGTGTTTCTTTTTCGATTTATCAGTTTTCATAAATTTGTCCTTTTGTCGAAAAAATTAAAAAACGAAAAATTGAGTAAATGAAAAATTAAAAATAAAGTACTTCCAAGTAGGTAATTCCAAATTATTTTGTTTCTTCGATTTTTTGATTTCTCAATTTGACATTTTTATATTTTTCGTTTTTTTAATTCATAATTTTTGGATTTTCCGTCTTTCGTTTTTACATTTTCCGATTTCTCCATTTTTTAGTTTTTCGATTTTCGTTATGAAATGTTGGATTTTTCAATAAAATTTTTGTATTTTTCGATTTTCTAATTTGCTTTTTAATTTTTCGATTTTCTATATGTTGAATTTTACAATTTTTCGTTTTTTCGAATTTTCAGTTCCTGGATTTTTTATTTATCACTTTTTCAGGTTTCAGTGTTACAAATTTTTGATTTTACAGTTTCTATCTTTTTGTCAGTTGTTCATTTATTAATTACTTTTTTCGTTACCCAATTTTCAATTTGCCAATTTTTTCAATTTTTAGATATTTAAACTTTGGTTTTTCAATTTTTGATTGTCAATTTTTCATTTCTTCAGTTTTTCCATTTTTATTTTTATTTTATCTACAATTGTGTACTCCAAATTATTTTGTTTCTTCGATTTTTTGATTTCTCAATTCGAGATTTTTATATTTTTCGTTTTTTTAATTAATAACTTTTCGATTTTCCGAGATTCATTTTTACATTTTCCGATTTATCCGTTTTTTAGTTCTTCGATTTTCATTATGAAATGTTGGATTTTTCAGTAGAATTTTTGTTTTTCGATTTTTTAATTTGTAGATATATTAATTTTTTGATTTTCTATATGTTGAATTTTACAATTTTTCGTTTTTTCGATTTTTCAGTTCCTGGATTTTTAATTTATCACTTTTTCAGGTTTCAATGTTACAAATTTTCGATTTTACAGTTTCTATCTTTTTCTCAGTTGTTCATTTATTAATTACTTTTTTCGTTGCACAATTTTCAATTTGCCAATTTTTTCAATTTTTCGATATTTAAAGTTTGGTTTTTCAATTTTTGATTTTCAATTTTTCATTTCTTCAGTTTTTCCATTTTTATTTCTTTTTCAAATTTACAATATTGTATTCCAAATTATTCTGTTTCTTCGATTTTTTGATTTCTCAATTCGAGATTTTTATATTTTTCGTTCTTTTAATTGATAACTTTTCGATTTTCCGGGTTTCGTTTTTACATTTTCCGATTTCTCCATTTTTTAGTTTTTCGATTTTCATTATGAAATGTTGGATTTTTCAGTGAAATATTTGTATTTTCCGATTTTTTAATTTAGAGATATTTTAATTTTTCGATTTTCTAATTTGCTTTTTAAGTTTTCGATTTTCTATATGTGGAATTTTACAATTTTTCGTTTTTTCGATTTTTCAATTCCTGGATTTTTAATTTATCAATTTTTCAGGTTTCAATGTTATAAATTTTCGATTTTACAGTTTATATCTTTTTCTCAGCTGTTCCATTTTTTAATTACTTTTTTCGTTAT